ACATCTCTTTCCAAATCATACAAAGATTTGTACTTAGCATTTAGGTATTCATAAACTTCCCAAATCTTATACAGTTTCGGACTTGGTGAGTGTCTTTGTCGAAAGATTCATTATTAAAGAAATAAGGTATTGATTTATTTTGAGGAACCTTTTATATTCTCAACCAGCAGCTATATGAAACAAATCCTTGACCGTTCGATATGGTCATTGTCTAATATTACGCAGCCAGTAACAACTACTTCGTCTATATTCGTTCACATTCCGAAAGCCTAACTTGAAAAAACGGAATAAATCGCTTAAATTCTTACTAAATAGCTTAAAACGAGATATCTCGGGTTGATTGTTTTAGATACAACAAGTGCAAGACGAATTGTCTCGGGGTAGCTTTTTAACCCGTAACCGGTGACGTGGAGTCTGAGAGTAACCGTTAGTTACTTTTTATCGAGTGTTTTATATTTCTTCGTATAAACTATAATGGATCATCTACCAAGTACGTCACGATCGGTTAGTGTTACAGATCCGAAATTTGAAGAGAAAGTGTTAAATTGGTTCAATGATTTGGACTCTGAATATAGTGCTTTGGATGAAAAATGTACGGTTTACAGTTCGTCCAGAAGAACGCAACGTTGGCCAATGGCTATATTTTACAAAATACTAGATATGAGTACAGTTAACGCTTTCGTTATGTATCAGTGTTATAGAGAATCCAAACCCTTAGACAGGAAAGATTTTATGAAGGTACTGGCTAAAAGCTTAATTGAAGCACACATGAAACAACGAATGTATAACAGCAGAATCCCGACAGAAATAAGAGAAAACATAAAGCGAATACTGTGCGTGGTTGAGCCTCCTTCTATTCAAGAAGATCGGTTAGCAGTTCGAAAGTATTGCTACATTTGCCCATCAAAACTTCATAGGAAGACATCTTATTTATGCGTCTGTTGTAAAAAACCAATTTGCTTGATTTGTTCTCATAAAATATGCAGAAACTATAACGTTCAAAAAGAATAAAAAAAATAATCCCATTTTTTTGTCCTTATTTACCCCCTGCACGTTCCGTTACGTTTAGACTACTGATGATAATTTTTATTACCATAGATTATTCAATATTTGTTATACCTAATATTAAAACCATTTGTACATACCAAATTTAGAAATATTAAAAAAAAATTAAGTTTTCCGACGTAACACCGTACTATATTTATTTGCAACTTTTGACAAAAATGTTAATAATAAGAATAGTCAGTAACAGAAAGAACTAAAAAGGCAATAGGATATTGCAAAAATGCCTAAAGAACAGATTATTATAAACAATGTGATAAAATAATTATTTAAATTTGAATGAGACCAGCATATTTATGATGAGTCCCGGAGACTCCACGTCACCGGTTATGTTCCTAAAATCGGACGTCACCGGTTACGGGTTAAGGGGTTAACCAATCAATAGTAATATCAATAATCAATATCAATTCTTCTTCTTAGGGTGCCTGTCCGTTCCGAATGTTGGCGATCATTTTGGCTATGATGACTTTGTTGGTTGCTATACGAAATAGCTGTGTTGAGGTCTTTCTATACCATGCTCTCAGGTTAGCAATCTAGAATATTCTTTTTCATCCTGGGGCCCTTTTTCCTTCCATTTTACCTTGTAAAATGCATTAAAGTAGCTCGTATCTGCCTTGATTTCTCATTATATGGCCCAAGTACTGCAGCTTACGGCCCTTCACGATGTTTACCAAATCCGCAGTTGTGTTCATTCTCCGCAGTACTTCTTCAGTGGTGACTTTGTCTGTCCGTGGTATCTTCAAGATCCTTCTGTATGACCATAGCTCAAAATCCTGAAGTTTTGATAGAGTTTTCGCCTTTAATGTCCACGTTTCTACTCCGTACAGAAGCACTGAGTACACATAAAATTTAAGGAGACTTATTTTTGTTTCTAGGGTAAGGTCATGGCTCTTGAACACAGAACTCATAGTCAAGAATGTACTCTTTGCCTTTCCCATGCGACATTTAATCTCTTGGGTATTGTCCCACGACTCATTGATTATAGTTCCCAAGTAGTTACATTGTGAGACTGGTTCAATTCTCATTTGGTTCACATACAGATTTGCTCCAGTTATGTTTTCCTTGCTGATGATCATTAGCTTCGTTTTGCTGGTGTTTATGTCCAGTCCATATTTTCTACGTGTTTCCGTTATTTTGTTCATTAAGTTTTGCAAAAATCTACCATCGGCTTATATTTTATAATGATTGTTACCGCAATGTGACAAATAACATATTAAAATAGTTGTACTATTTATTACTTTTTGATAACACTCAGTTCTTTTATGACTGAATAGTATGTAATATTGTATGTAAAAAACTTGTCGGTATAACTTCAGAAGATAAAAGTTTACGCAGAAAAATTCATGTATAGATAACTTTGTTATATTAAACATTTCATGACATATTCAAAATAAAACCGCAATGATATAAACTTATATGTGTGTTAGTAAAAATCAAACTCTCATAAGTCCTTCATAAATGAATGTGAGATAATACACATTTTATGTTTTCAATAAGACCTGATAATTTGCAAATGCTTTCTCTATTTGTACTCGCAGTGGCGCCGCGTGGACTAATACACACGTGACTACCATAAAATCAAACCTACGCCATACTCAGGGCCGTCGAGAGGGATGAGCGGGCTTCGGCAAAAAGTAAAGAGCAAAAAAATTGTTTTTTATAGAAATAAAGTTATAAATAATAATTAACATTTGAAATATAAAATTTATTAAATTTTGATTATATTTTTAATTGTCAAAATATTTATAATGTAGGTAGTTTTCGAGATTTCTGATTACCAAAATGTCTAATATTTTCAACAAATCGCTTGATCTTACCAAATTCTGCTCAGTGTACAAAGTCGCTAGGCCAGTTAACCCATCCAACTTCATTGTAGATCTCATAACATTTTTTATGCAAGGCAGACAACTAAATGATCTTTCCGCTTTAGCGACGGTCACCGACAATGCACAAAATATTCTTAATGCAATAGCGATGTTAGTACATAATGATTCCAATTTGAGATGTTTAATTTTATTAAGTAAATCGTTTGGAGAAAGTTGATATTTACCAATATATCCTTGTATATCGCTTTCAAATGAAAAATTTCATCTATCAATTCTTCACTGACGTCGTTCTTATAAGACTATCGCAATGTATCAATTTTTTTCTTAATATTGTCGTCATATTTATCTCGGAATGTTCATAAAATGTTAAATAGCAAATGAATTTCATTTGCCGTATTAAATCTTCTGGTTAAATTTCCTCTTGTAAATATGAAATATTATCAGTCGAGATACTACAAGGCCCAAGCAAGTGATCAAAAAGCCTCGCAGGATTTTGTCTCTCTGTGATCCATCTGTGGCCCCCACTCGCTGTCCTCGGCCTTGCTAAGTACACGCTCTTTCACACTGCAGTATACTGAGCCATAGACCAACTTCATCATCATCCAGCCTCTATTTATCACGTCCACTGCTGGACATAGGCCTCCCTTAAACTCCTCCATTCCTCACGATTTTGTGCTCTTTGTTGCCAATTTTTAGTGATACGCCTGATGTCGTCGGCCCAACGTGTAGGTGGTCTTCCTCTACTGCGTTTGTCTGCTCTTGGCCTCCAATTTGTAATTTTCCTCGTCCATCGTGAATCGTGCATTCTCGCTACATGGCCTGCCCAGTTCCATTTTAGTTCCGCTATGCGTTCCACAACATCAGTAATACTCGTCCTTCTTCGCAGATCTTCGTTTCTTATTCGGTCCCTCAACGTCACTCCCAGCATAGACCGTTCCATTCGTCTCTGTGCCACTCTCAGTTTCGAAGCCGTGGTCTTGTTTAAAGTCATAGTTTCCGCCCCATAGGTCATGACCGGTAATACGCATTGGTCAAACACTTTTCTTTTGAGGCTGATTGGTATGTTGGCCCTAAGTGTGTCTCGCAGTTTTCCAAAGGCTGCCCATGTTAAAGTAATTCGTCTTTGGATCTCACATGTTTGGTTATCCCTGCTGATTCTTATTTCATGACCCAAATACGTATATTTCTCTACCAGTTCGACCACTTTGTCTTGAATAGTCAAATGGTTATTGGGGACCAAATTTGTCATAAACTTAGTTTTGGTCAAGTTCATTCTCAGGCCCACCCTCGAACATGCAAAATCCAATTCGTTTATCATATCTGTATATCTAATTCATGCAACCCGACAATTCAACCTCTCTTAAAGTCACTTAGTTAAAAAAGGCTTCTCAATAACCTACACGAAATTTTAACCAATACCGTAAATTCACGCAAACTTATTACGCAAACTAAATGCTTCTTTATTACCAAACAATTCACGCAGGCACAACAAAAACTTAAAAGAAAAACCTGAGAATTGTACTTTTTGTTCGTGGCAAGATGTCGATAAGTAAAACATTAATGATTTCTAAAAGCGACTTCCCACGATCGGCGATATTGCGGACGGACGCGGACCAGCGCGCACCGATCCGCCGTTAAAAGTGTCTCGTCCGTGGTAGCACAGGCACGTCTGTGCTGATGCGTCCTAACCATCGAGAGTCGGTAACATCAAAGGTGCGGTACATGCCCGTGCGACGCGATCCGAGCGCGTCCTTGTGTTAACAGACAAGTGCAAGTCAGAAGTTGCTTATTCGCTGACACGAGTAGTTGTCTGTAGTAAATTTTTTAAATTTGTATCAAATGAAACAAGTTTATGCAATTCTACGGCGCCAGAGCATAAGAACCGGAACGATATATACGATGTATGGAACCGAATAAAAAATCAATTGAAGAATAGTACTATTTAGATTAAAGACTTAAACAAGAAGAGAGACAATTTAATGTCGACATACAGAAGGCAAAAAACAAAAATAGAAACCTACACAGACTGTCACCGATCGTGGGAAGCCGCTGTAATAAACATACGTAGGTGTTTATCTTTTTTTTGCCACCTAGTATATTTAAACTGTTTACCTGGCTTAAATTTGCTGTTTTCTCCTCGTAGTTCCTTATGACTGTTACCACTGGAAGTCTATCTTTAGTGATCCACGAGGCTGCTATTTCATTTATAGTTATAGGTTGCGGCAATTTTTTATCGAATCTCGCTTGTTCTGTTAAACTGAGCCAGATATCATCGCCAAAGAATGTTTTGTATTGCCTGAAATATAATAAAAAGAAAGTTATACATAAGTTGTATTTTTAAATGATTTTCATCATCGCTGGCGTAGTTATATAAATCCTTTATCAAACTATAGGAGGATACAAAAATTGTACAAACACATAATATGCTTGGTTCTCTGAAATCTTATAAATAGAAATATTTAAATACAAAAAGAAAAATACACAAATTCACAATTGAGTCGCTAAAATTAATTTTACAAAAGTTTTGTACTGGGATTGACTAAGACATTATAAATTCTGTTGTGAATGATCTGCATAAAGATTTCCAATCAAAAGACTGATATGTTTTTTGTACACACTTATGACAAGTCAAAAGAAAAGGCAAAAAAGTATTTTTGAAGTGTGTATATTTTTAATAATTCTTAGCTGAGCGCTTTCGGCTTTATAAAGCCATCATCGGAGCTATGCTACAATAAAATGTTCTTATAAGTACTAATTGGTGAAGATTTTAATTTTTTTACTTTCGTCAATTTATAAATACCACTACAATGGAGAGATCTCATTTCCTTATATGTTGAAATATTGATTTTTTATTTAATTACTTAGTTGTTAAAATTCTTAAAAAAACATAAAAAACCGACACTGGACTTCACAGACACATTAAAAATTGAAAAAGTTTTTTGTCATGGTACAGGTGTAAGAACCCGACCATTGTTTGCTGTGAGGAGGTAGACAGAATAGAACTAATGAAATCAAATGTCGGTCCTTTTAAACGATTTTTCAAAAGTGACAGTTGACAAATGTCATATATAGGAAATAGAGATTGTTTTAAATTTTTACAAAATTATATAATAGTTTGGAATTACTAATAGTCATCAAAGACGTTCTAAAAATTAAGTTTTTAAGTTTTTAAATTAAATCTTATGTGTTCATCACATCATACACAATGACATTAGTTTGTAAATTCACTCAAGTCATTGCTCAAGGTCAATGTATGTTCAATCTGACAGTCATCCTTAAGAAGCAAGGGCTCAAATCGTTCAACAAGAATGTAAAGAAGAAACATGGTATTAATGTTACATTATCTGATACTTAAATGTAATGAGAATTGTATCTCTTGATGGAAATTTGTAAGAAATTTGCATAAAAATTTTTAAAAGAATATATTTTCATGTTTCAATTAAGAATAACTGTCAAATGAATTACAAAATGTTGTAAATTTATAATAAAGTTTAGAGTTTTTGTTTAAAAATATAAAATTATGAAAAAATGTAATAAGATTGCATGAGGTCACCCTTCTTCCTCTAAAGTCTCCCATAATAATTTAAAAATATTTCCACAGCGTGACTTATTAGGCGTATCATTTTATTGTTCTTAAATTTTCATTTTATTCTTCTTCTAGAGATGGCTATGTATGTACTAGTAGTTAGAAAGTTACTAAAGTTACTAAAGTTAACTTAATTTGTTAACTGCTGTTTCGCTGAGATGTTGCACTTTTTTCTTTTATAGCGCATAGAACTTCTGCTGTCAATATTAGGAGATTACCTCCTTTTTCTATTGGTTGGCTTTCATCTGGAATGCTGTCTGCAAATAATTCTAGGAGATGTCTTTCTCAAATGTGTTTTTGTTTTTTGGGGTCTATTTCGTTATTTTTGTTTTCCATTATAGAGACGTTTTTAACCTTCCAGATCTCAACTACTTTTATTTTTTTATGTATAGTTCTCGGTTTTTGTGTTCTTGCTAAATATGTTCTTTAGCAAGCGTGTGCCAGGCGATTTTGATTTTTTTTGGCGCCTTTGTTTTATCAATTTAAAGACCTTGTCTGTCATCCAGGTCTTTGTCTATGGAACCTTGTCTCCCTTATTTTTCCTAGCTTCTGAATTGATAAGTGTTTCGTTGAGACTTGTCCATGTGTCCTCGATATCTCTTTTTGTTTCTATGGCAATTTTATGTGCATCTGCCCTGTTATCTCTATTTGCTCATCTACGTACTTTCCATAATGTTCTATTCGTTCATCCGTTACATTAGTCCATACTATTTTGTGTTTGATAGTGCTCTTGGATTTTCTTTAGCTTTATTCTTATTGTAACTACAATTGAATTATTCTGGGAGTTAATGTCGAATCCAGGATAGGCTTTTGCGCTTAGGGTGCTATTTATGAATCTGATATTGATTGCAATATACTCGATTTGTTTTCTTACAATGTGACATTTATCTTTAGAAAACCACCATGTGTATAGGTATTATTTATACTACTACTACTACTAAGGATTTCCACAGTTTTCACTGTCTTCCTTCACTCAACCGTTTTCTCCAATTTTCCCTGTCATTCCAGTCTCCATCTCGCAGGGTTCTTTTCTCCATAGCCTCGTCGATTTCGTCTCTGAATGACCTTTGGGGTCTTCCTCTTTTTCTTCTTCCGATCGCGCTCCATTCTGTAATTTTGTTTATCCAGCGTTCTCTGTCCGCTCTTCTGACGTGGCCGTACCAGGATAGTCTCTTCTCCTCTATATAGTCGATTATGTCTGATTGCACTCCCATTCTCCGCTTAATCTCTGCGTTTTCAATTCTGTCTCTTTTGTAAGTCTACAGCTTCTCCTCAGGAACTCCATTTCTACTGCTCTTATTCTACCTCTATTTCTCTTGTTTATTGTCCAGTTTTCGGACCCATATGTCAGGATACTTCTTGTCAGGGTATTATATATTCTCTTTTTTGTCTTTATCGTAATGTTCTTATCCCACAGCACCGAATTTAGTTGTCTTAGTCTGTTGTTTATATCTTCTTCTGTTGTTCCCTGGTTCGATATTATGGTTCCTAAATACTTGAATTTATCTGTTCCATTTACTTGTCTTCCCTCGTCTATCTTTAGGTTTCTCATATCCTTGTTTTCTGTTGTTAGGCATTCGGTTTTCTCTAAGTTTATTTCCATTCCGTTGTTTTTATATTCTTCTTCTAGTTTTCTGAGCATAAAGCTGAGATCTTCTTCATCTTGTGCGATGACTACTTGATCGTCAGCAAAACTTAAGGTGTCTAGGTATTCGTCTCTTACTGGTATGCCCATTCCTTCGCACTTTCTCCTCCATGGTTTGAGTGTTTTTTCCAAAAATATTTTAAACTGAGTAGGGGACATATCACAGCCTTGTAGAAGTCCTTTTGTCGTCTTAAATGGATTGTAGGCTTTATTTCCACATTTAATAGCTACTTTATTTTCTTTGTACAGTGCTTTAACTGCTTTGATTAGTGTTTGTCAGATTCCGAGATCATTCATTGCTTCCCATAATTTGACTTTAGGTATTGAGTCGTATGCTTTCTTTAGATCAACAAACGCCAGATGGACCAGTCTACCTTTTGCCATTTTCTTCTCTATCAGTTGTTCTAATGTGTACGTATGATCTAGGCATGATTTTCCTACTGTGAACCCTTCTTGGTCTTCTCCAATTTTTCCTATTATTTCAGTTTCTAGTTTTTCCTTGATAATTTTCCCGTAAAGTCTACGACATATTATACTAATTCCTCTGTAGTTTTCACATTTTTTCCTGTTTCCTTTCTTATGTATGGATGTGATGTATGCTTGTGTCCATTCCGCAGGTGTTTCCTTAATTATTATTATTTATACAGCTTAAAAACTAAATCGGTAATTATAAATTTGTTTTCTTGGCAGAACTTAAGAATGGACACGAAGAAATGGAATATCTTGAGTAAAAGTTGAAATCTGTTGCGAGGAATAACTTTGCAGATATAATTACTATGTATTTTGTCTCGAAACCCATCCAAAGAATAATTCCAAATAGTTTTTTATTTCATCTAAGTTTGTGTATTTCCAGGATTTTACGCGAGAATTAGTATAATCGCTTTTCTAAATGTACTGGTCAGCATAGCGATTAGTTTCAGTCACCTAAAAGTAGAAAAATATTTAAAAAAAACCAAAAAATATTTTTGCCTATTACCATTAAGTTTATGATATCCTCATTTAAAAACAATTTGTAAAAATCGTATTCTGTTTTATTGTACATAGTTTCATACAATTCCGATCGAAATCCAGTACTGTTTTCGTTTGCCACAAAATCAAATTTTATTCAGGTAATTGCCACTGACTGGTTTCCAGACATATGTAGCATTAGTAACTTGTTGGTCCTCTTCTTCATCACTTGATGAGAAAACCTGCATTTGTTGAATAACAGCTTTATTGGTATCTGCTATATTGTGTTGTGGTTTATGGACTGGTTGGATAATTTCACTAGATGTCGATGCACCTAAGTTCACTTCATGTAAATTGGCAGTACGTTTTGAGCCACATATTTTTGTTAAAACTTTCGTGTAAATTGGCAGTGCGTTTTAAGCGACATATTTTTGTTAAAACTTTCTTCTTCTTGCATTGCTGATATTCTGATGAATCAGAGTCAGACTCGTTCTCTGATTCGGGTTCTCTGATTCATTTGATGTTCCGTCGGGTTCAAAATTGTTCACATCTTCTTCGTCGAAAAAACATTCTTGCAATAACTTTTCTAAACGTTGCTGTTCTTTCTCAAAAATAAACATCTTTACTCACCAAAAGTTCAACAACCACTGAACTGATTAACTGATCCGATATTGTAAACAACGTTCCAGACGTGACGTAAACCTTTACTTACTTACTTACTTACTCCGTGGCATTACAACCCTTCGTGAGTTTTAGCCGACTCGACAACATGCCTCCACTGTTTTCTGTCTTGAGCAACCTTCATCCAATTCTCCACGCCCATAGTGCTTAGGTCTCCTGCTATATTATCTCGCCACCGGAGACGAGGGCGTCCGCGTGGTTTCTTTCCAGTTGGGACTTCCTCCCACACCAGTCTTACTGTTCGTTCGTCAGAATATCTTCTGAGGTGTCCTGCCCATTGGAGTCTTCTGGACTTTATTTCTTTTATTGAGAAATTGAAATTGAGAAATTGAGAAAAGAAGACTCAGAAAACAATGGCAATTAACAAGATCACCTCAAAGTAAAACAAACCTTAATAAAGCACAAAAAGACCTAAAAAAATTGATAATGGCAGAAA